CACACTCACTCACTCACTCACACACTCACTCACACACACACACACACTCACTCTCACACACACACACACACACTCACTCTCACACACACACACACTCACACACTCTCACACACTCACTCACACACACGCACTCACGCACGCACGCACGCACGCACTCCGATATATCGTGTTTTTATTTGAGTGTACTGACCTAGTTTTGATTTATTCATCCAAAATTTGGCAAATTCTGTGACATTTCGCGTTACACATTAAATTCCACTTTTATGACTGGATTCTGTGACTCCGTCCGTTTTCTGCGTCGTGGAAATCATAGGGCCCTAAACACCACTATATGTTTCTGTTTGTGTTTAAAGTAAGGTAAAGAACTGGCTGAGGCTGGAGTTTTAATGATTTAATCATTACTATAATTCGTGGCATTATTATTTATGGATTCACTAAGTCAGATTCATATTCACATTTCAAGCATATTCATTATTCATCATATCCAGCGGCGTGGAAGCATTCATCTGAAAACACGTCATGTCTACTGACACTATGATTTCTATTTTCCAGTCAATCAAAAAAGTCTGTTTCAGCTTCAGGAGATTGGAGTGAGTGCTGACTAGGGATCAATGATTGATTAATCAACGATAAGAATGTAATCGTTCAAAGCTATCGCTGGGCGGTTAAGCAGTTTTTTCAGGCTATCAATATGCGGGTATTGAAATCGCTTTTGAATGTGTGCTCGCTGTTCACTTTCGTGTTCACGCACATTCGGTGTAAAGGAGCACATCTAATCTTACAAGATCAGATACGTCAGTGAGTTCAGGATCTGTTGAGCAGCAAATCCTCCAGCATGATCTGTCAGTCATCTCTCCTACTCTCCACCCGTGATCAGTCAAGCTCGTGTTGGAGGCAGGGTTGCAAAGTCCGCGGTTTTTCCACGAAATCGGCCTACTTTTATTAAACTGATGCACTGGGTTGATTTTTCCCCCGTGGGTAAACACATATGTATACGGCAGCGCGGACCGTTTATCAGCTCGGACCGCGACGCAAACAAACTCGTCTGAGCTCAGAACAGCTTTACTCGGGAGCCAAAGCTGATTTTGCGACACTGTAACTGCACAGATGCACAGTGCTGCGAGATCCAGTGAGAAGCCTTTGAATTAGCCTCACAATGAGAAGGTTGCTGCAAGATCTATTGAGAATCATTCAAATTCTGCACAGAATTGTGTTATAAACAGCGCTGACACACGTCAGGAAACCAGAAGCGGTAACGCTAACTGTAACCGTGGTTGTGGTAGAAATAGTTGAATGCATTGCATCGTTTATTTCAGGGTTTGTACAACCTTTTGAGAGAGAAATTCAAGCACTTTTCAATGACTTTCAAGCATTTCACACAGCCATTTCCAGCACTTTAAAGCTCTAAAATGATCCAGTTTGAATGTTATTTTTAATGGGATGACCAAAACATACTTTGTGGTAAACAAACACTTTTGTAAAATAAAAAAAATACATAAAATCACAATTATAACCAGTAGACGGACAGCAGACACTCTAAAAAATGCTGGGTTGTTTCAACCAACTTTGGGTCAAATATGCACTAACCCTACCGTTGGGTTAAATTTTACATTACATTTTTAACCCAAAAGCAGGGTTAGTCCACATTTGACCCAAAGTTGGTTGAAACAACCCAGCATTTTTTAGAGTGGAGGAGCACTTATTGGCTTATTAGTCATTCATTTCTACTTTTTTCTCCTATATTTTGAAATGATAAAATCACTATTATAAAATATCAAATCATCAACAAATCAGATTGTCCGATTTTTAAACTTTTTTGTGCATGAAGTAAGAAAAGTCACAAAGTGCCTTGAAAAACAAACTTTTCTTCAATTTGCTACTAAATCACACAA